TACCTGGAGGAGCTACCTGGGTCACATGGAGCTACCTGGGTCACACGGAGCTACCTGGGTCACACGGAGCTACCTGGGTCACACGGAGCTACCTGGGTCACACGGAGCTACCTGGGTCACACGGAGCTACCTGGAGGAGCTACCTGGGTCACACGGAGCTACATGGAGGAGCTACCTGGGTCAAACGGAGCTACCTGGGTCACACGGAGCTACCTGGAGCTACCTGGGTCACACGGAGCTACCTGGGTCACACGGAGCTACCTGGGTCACAAGGAGCTACCTGGAGGAGCTACCTGGGTCACATGGAGCTACCTGGGTCACACGGAGCTACCTGGGTCACACGGAGCTACCTGGAGGAGCTACCTGGGTCACATGGAGCTACCTGGGTCACATGGAGCTACCTGGGTCACACGGAGCTACCTGGGTCACACGGAGCTACCTGGGTCCCATGGAGCTACCTGGGTCACACGGAGCTACCTGGGTCACATGGAGCTACCTGGGTCACACTGAGCTACCTGAGTCACATGGAGCTACCTGGGTCCCATGGAGCTACCTGGGTCACACGGAGCTACCTGAGTCACACGAAGCTACCTGGAGGAGCTACCTGGGTCACATGGAGCTACCTGGGTCACACGGAGCTACCTGGAGGAGCTACCTGGGTCACATGGAGCTACCTGGGTCACACGGAGCTACCTGGGTCACACGGAGCTACCTGGGTCACACGGAGATACCTGGGTCCCATGGAGCTACCTGGAGGAGCTACCTGGGTCAGATGGAGCTACCTGGGTCACACGGAGCTACCTGGGTCCCATGGAGCTACCTGGACGGAGCTACTTGGGTCACATGGAGCTACCTGGGTCACACGGAGCTACCTGGGTCACACGGAGCTACTTGGGTCACACGGAGCTACCTGGGTCACACGGAGCTACCTGGGTCACACGGAGCTACCTGGGTCACACGGAGGACGGACGACTCAACAGGACAACACATAGAAGAAAGGAGGAGTCTTAATATTAACACAGCAAATTAAATATTTAAAGTACATACATTTCATAAATCAGTTTACAATGAAACACAAATAAATCAGGAGAAAATCTCATTAAATACAAACATCTGTAAGAATATAATTTGCTGTTTTCGTGATAAAGAAGCGACGGACAGTGTTCACAGTTTAGCGTATGGCTTCAGACGACGGCTCGTAGAAACACGAGATGCTACAGGAGGAGCTACGCTTTCTTTGGAGAATCAATACGGAGAACTCAGGAAATAAAAATGATGTTTTTTAACTAAAAAATTATGATTTGATGCCAAAGAAAAAGCAGGAAAATATATTTGTATTACCTAAAAATAATTAGTTTGTGTTTCTGTGTTTTGCTTCATATATATTTAATTTGTACCTTTATGTTAAGTTGATTTATCTGTTTGGGTGAAATCTCTCGGAAAAACTATTGTAAATGTGAGTAAACATTAAAACATGAAATCATTATTTTAAATACAAAGATCTTTGGAAGTGTTCCCAAAATCTAATATTAAAAATAGAGTAAAAACTAAGAGTTAGGCCTCAGGGAAAACACATCATCCATGCCTTTTAGATGTTTTCTTATGAATTAAAATACAGTTTCTATGTGGATATTTTAAACATGAAAATATGTCAAGGGGTCCATAAATATGATAGGAAAATTAGTAAAAATACAACAAATAATTCGACTGTAACTACCTGAGGAATAAATATGTCTGCCCGATGTTTTTATTACATTTAAGAATTCTTTAATGTTCAGTTTTGTGTAAATGAAAAATATTATTTTTAAAGATAGAAATGTATATAAGGGTTCCACAAATCCAATAGAAAAATTCTTAAAAATACTAATAATATTTCAGCGTCAACACCCTTTGTCTACACATCATGGCTTTTGGGTTAGAAAATCAAAAAGACATCAAATCATTTGTTTTCGTTCTCTGAAATGTGTAAAGAAGCTCGGCTGGTGAACCAGGAGTAACACAGAGAACCGATCTGATCCTGAGGAGGAGAAATATGTTTTTTGTTTATTTATTTTTATTTTTTTGGCAGCGACAACACTCGGCCTTGTGTCTGTTGCTAGGCGACGTTGGGTAATTTTTAGCCTGCAGGACGGCGGTGGTGGTGGTGAGAAGATCTTTGAGACGTGAGGATGAAAAACTCCCTCTGATAGAGGATGAATCACGATATCACATCTATTGTTAACGCCGCTGCGTGGCAGAGAGGTGATTTACCGTCAGCCTTTGAAAAGTTACGACAGGATATCATATTATTTATCAAAGAGAACGGCCTTTTCTACCTCTTTAGCTTCTATAACCTCCTAGCTGTGGATCTGCAAGGAGATGCTCACAAGGGCTGATGGTTTGTTAATGCACGTTTAGTAACACAAAGAAAACAATGATTTAGTGTGAAGCTTCCTTTGGTCATTTCTGCACAATACTACCAACTATGTTCCTTTAATCTACTGGTCATGGATCTATGTGCACATTTGGGAGATGCTATAATATGTTTGTTGGTTATATTTGAACTAACAAAGCAGACAAATGACTGAAAATCAAATTCTTCTGGACATGTCTGCAAAGCTCTTTAAAATATACTTTGAGATAAACCGCATCGAAACCTGAACATATAAATTATTTTATTTAGTGTTTTGTCTCCGTAACATTTGCTCTGTGTCCGCTGTGCGGCAGCTTGAAGGTCCTGTGGTTTCTCAAGAAGCAGCAGGAGTCTCATAAATACTTTATAAAGTTCAATT